CGATAAATCTCTTTTGCATGCAAACAACTGGCGAATTTAACACAGCGATGTCATACGAATTGGAAATTCTCCCCCGCTGCATTACCTTTTCTATAGTTCAGAACCAGTCCTAAATTCGACATATGGGATCTAGTTCGCTTTGCACCCCATTTTATATAGTTTCGAACCAGTTGTAAACGAAAAAAGTAACAAGATGTTTTCTTTTTGGGTTACCATGGTAGCAATTTTTAATTATTTGCAGAGAAATGTATTTTCCATGATAAAAACATAAAAAGGTAAAGCCATTGAGAGGCAGTCTGACGTTTGCCAACAATATAATTTTAAAATTCAAAACTCAAACTCACACACACATTCTCATTTTCAATCTCAAACAAAAACAATTGTGAACAATTAAATTTTTTTATTTTCAATTTTATATGATTTTAAAATGTTGGCAAACGTCTGAAAAAAAATCATGGCCGACGAATTGAGAGAATGAATTTACCTTGTAATGTTTTTATCATGGTATTTTCAATCTGAAATCAAATTTGTTTTAATGAATGTAAATTAAATTTGTGCATTTGAAAACACGTTTACATACCTTTGGCTGTAGCTGAATTTGCGGAGGTGCTGACTGTTATTGGTTATGTTCCAGAAGGTCCCATAATGTTAAGATGTTAACACAAATATTAGTTTTGTATTACCAAACTATGAAAAAGCATCTGCGACGTGCAGACTGAAAGCGTATTTGAACGAAAAACCCGCCAAGCAAAAATCTATTTAAAGTAAACAAGCCCCCCGCTGCATCCCTTTTTCAGCAGTTTCGAACTAGTTCAAAATTCGCCGATGAGATCTAGTTCGTTCTGCATCCCTTTTTCTATAGTTTTGAACCAGTTCTAAATTCGTCATTTTAGATATAGATTTCTAACATTGTTGTTTAAAAGTACCACATATCGCTGCTTTTGAACTGGTGGCGATTTAGTTACTATCGGTTAAAGATCTAGTACGGAACTACAAATTTGGTTCACCAGTTCGGGGTTTCCCTACAGGGTTCTGATGCTAGTGTGATGTCTGGCGTGGTTTCCTCGCATCCTGGTCTTCGGAAGGTTGTTGCTGCGCCAGTATTGAGCACTATAAATCCGAGTGGGGCTGACATTTCTAGCACGCGTTTGCCTCTGGAGTCCGTGTTTGGCATCCCCCACTCCGTGGCTCTTGAGTTTAGGTCTCCTGCCATCAGAATGGGTCCTTCCAAGTTCAGGGCCGTATCTTCAGAGAATAGTAGCAGCTGCGCAAATAGAAACGATGCCTGCAATCGGAATTAGATCTGCGTTTATTTATCGACTTCAAATCAATTATATATATAGGTGATTTTTACAAAAGTTTATCTACACATATCTGTGCCGTACCTATCAGTGTCAGTGAAAAATATAATATCGTTGCCCCAGTCCCAAATAGAGTTGTTCAGACCGTCCGGCACAATGCCGTTTTTTACCGTCAGTGCTGCTTCAGTGTTCGTTCCGTAATACACTCGTTTTATACACTCTAAAAACTGCATGTAAAACTGCTACTGAAAAGTGTTTATTTTCAATCAAAATCTGTGTAAGTATACGCATAAGATGTTCAAGACTGGATTTTTGAACGAGATGTTTAAAATACACACACGAAATGTTTATAATTGCAAACGCTTTTAACGCAAAACTACAGTTAAAAAATAAAAATTAGGTACATTTGATGTGTAGTTTTGCTCTATGCGACAAATCTGGTATGTAAAAGTAAACAGGCAGTTTTTAATTTTATTAACACGGTGTCTAAATTTGCACACATTAGGAGAGGAAACTGGCAACCTCTCTTCTCTTCTTCTTTATTGGCGCTGTAACCGCCTAAGCGATTTTGGCCTAGTCCAAAACAGCACGCCAGTCATTTCTCTTCAGTGCTAACTGACGCCAATTGCAAATGCCAAGTGAAGCCAAGTCCTTCTCCACCTGGTCTTTCCAACGAAGAGGAGGCCTTCCTCTTCCTCTGTTACCAGCATCGCGGCCCGCGTTGAATATTTTCAGAGCAGGAGCGTTTCTGTCCATTCGAACGACATGACCAAGCCAGCGGAGCCGCTGAATTTTAATTCGCTGCACTATGTCTATATCGTTGTAAAGCTCATACAGCTCATCGTTAAATCGTCTGCGATATTCGCCATCACCAACACGTAAAGGCCCGTAAATCTCTCGCAGAATCTTTCTCTCGAAAACTCCAAGAGCCGCCTCTTCAGATGCTTTGATTGTCCATGCCTCCGCGCCATACACCAGGACAGGCATGATGAGTGACTTATAGAGTGTGATCTTTGTATGACGAGAGAGCTTAAGCTTAAGATTTGCGCGATCGGGCGGCCCCGTATCGTCGCGTATAAGTTACAAACGAGAAATTGAAGTAACACAGAAAATTACAATTCATATGGCAATATTAAAATTCAAGTAAAAAAGATGTTAGGGTTTGCAACTATTAGATGTCGTCCTTCTCAAGTCGATGAGATTCACACTCACGTCCTCAACACAACCTTTCGCCGGTTATAAACATGGCTGCGTAGTACCAGGATGACAGAAAATCTTTGGGCATGAAGTCTTATAGCTCATTCAATTTCAGTACAAAAAGTAAACATTTGAAGTACCTTAAAATTCGCGTTGATTTTTGTGAATTTTTTTTTTGTTGGAGATGTGTTGCATTTTCATCCACAGAAAATACTAATGTTCCAAAATACTCGTATTTTTATATCGAAGAAAATGCAGAATCTCGAACTTGCACTTTAATATACGGAAATTAAATTGACTATAAAAATGCATGCCCAAAACTTTTCTAAAAAATCTGATTAAATAATTTAAAATTATGATAGCAATTTTTGAAACCGGTTGAATTTTCACGAATTTCGCCTTTATTGACAAATTTTACGTGGCAAAATTACTTGATTTTTTTATGAATTACGCCTAAAGGCAAGTGAAGTACAATGCGACGGCTGATCTTCGGAAGTGATGCCTTTCCACCTCTCGCAATCAATCTCCTCCTTTTCCTTCACGTTGGTGACACCGTTAACCTCAACCTGTTGGGGAACAGATAAAGGAAGATGAAAAATTTCCTCTGGCTTGACCCTGTTTTCGTCCACGGACTACCCCAAATTTCCACAACGTTTTTGATTTTGTTCGCCTTCAGCTGGTGGTTGCGGTATTCTGTTACCTGAGTATGTAGGGGTGACACCCTGCAGAAATGGCTTTCGGGCTAATGCCGTGACCGCCTCCATCCCGCTAAAACCCTGGCAGGCCTCGAAGTAAGTTCCGATCTCATCGCCGTTAAGTTGGTGGTTGTAGGTAACGGTTGACTATAAGGGTAATACCATGTTCTGACTGACAATGAAAACGAGTTTTGGGATTGTGGGCTGAAGGCTGTCCACACCGGCTGTTATTGTTTTCGTTGACATTTCTTACATCTTTTGATTACAGTTTTGCTACACAAGAACAAAACCAAAATACTTTTCCTTCTTGGTACATGGTATAAGGGGTCAACCCACCGCATAACCTCTCTGTTTTCATAGATATCCATGGGATCCCATAGTGACTACAATGCCCGAGTGAGTATAGCGGCTTCGAGTGGGGACCCTTTTAGAATGGACAAGCCGATTAGTTTAAAACTAAAAAAAAAAAATCACCTTCGCCTTCCCCAGCTCGGGAAAAGGCAGCGCAGGCGCAAGCGTCTTCTAGCCCTATGGAGGGCATTTCCGGGGCGGCTCTGGAGGCAACTTCGAAGGCTTTCCTCAAGGGGCAGGGGTCTCACGACCTAGCTCAAGTGGGGAAAGTCGACAAGCGGCCACAAAAATTAACACCGGCCTCAGGAAAGGGTGAGGTTGGACACGCTTCCAGAGCACAGCTGGGGTTTCGGTGGAAAACCAAACCAAAAGGCAAAGGTCGGTGGAGGAACAACAGCCTCGACCAAAGAAAATCCGGACGCACTCCGGGGCAGCTAGGCCTAGCTTTGCTGAAGTTGCTAGGGGTAGGATCCTTATTGGGGTTCTTGACCACGGCAAATGTCATTTTTGACGTCTTGCTGGAGAACCCCGGAACCCCTCCCGCGTGCAGAGATGCCGGCTGGTACCAGGGCCACATCAAGGTGGTGGCTTGTGATGTTGGGAGGTCGGTGGCGCTGTATAAGGCCGCCGTCACAAAGGTGGGAGCTGTCTACCCTGGAACAAATCTGGAGGTGGTGGACTGGAAAGACATTCCAGTCAGGCCTAGGGCAAGGGCGTGGGTGCCGGTCACAACCAAGATCGCCGGAGCGCATCCTTAGGATGCCGCAAATTATGAATGTGGCTCTTCCAATGAGCGATGAGAGGGTCGTACGAGTCGAAGACCCGGATGGACCGGCGAGACAAGTGGTTCCGTCTCAAAACTGGGTCTCGATAGAGCTTCGGGAGAGGAGACAGAGCCAGGTCTTCTACGACTCGACGAGGTCTATCGCGCGGACGCGCAGCGCGCATTTGGTGCGAGTGCCTCAGTGGACGTAGACATTGAGGCGCCTAAACCCGAGGGGGATCTCTCTGGCGCTGTGAGCAGTGCCCCCACGGAATCCAACCTCGCATTGGCGATGCGGAGGATGTGCGAGGAGGAGCTGCTACTCAGTGATGGTGACGTCGACGCCGACGTCACCGTCGTAGCAGTAGAGGAGGTGGAAGGAACCTCAAGTGAGGATACTGCAGATCAATCTCCACAGATCTAGGGCAGGCTCCGAAGCTCTTTTGAGTCACCTGTACAACGGCGACGTCCATGTCGCGCTCATCCAAGAGCCCTGGGCGCACAACTCGAGGGTCTGTGGCCTAGCGCAGTGGGTTTTAAGCTTCTGGGGGAGCGAAGTAGAGGTAAAATTAGAACCTGTGTAATAGCAAAGTCAGATTTAAACATCTTTCTTCTACCTTATTATAGCGATGGTAACATCACGAGTACCTTACTGGAGATACGAGGCGCGTCGATCGTGCTGGCTCCGTTTACATGCCCTATGAGGCTGATGATCCTCCGCAATACTTGTTGCGCAGGCTGGTGCAGGAACACAGCACAGGCTTCGTTCTGATCGGAGGCGATGCTAATGCTCACCATGTACAGTGGGGGAGCTCGAACATCAATTGTCGAGGTGAGTCTCTTTTTAACTACCTGTTAACAACTAATCTCATTATATGTAACAGGAGTTCAGAACCTACTTTTGTTGTGAAAACCCGTGAGGAGGTTATAAACCTTACGCTATGTAACGACAATCCTTTTGATATGGTTAAAATCTGGAGAGTTCTAAACGAACACATTTTTTCCGCCATAGATATATTGAGACGATTCTGGACATTAATCTAACTGTTTCGCAGGTTCGAAAGAACGTAAGGAATACAGACTGGTAAATCTACAAAGAAGCTCTGGAACGTAAGTTACCATATCCGGCACTTAGTGAGCTTAGCAACACTGGTGAGTTGGAGGACATGGTTAATTCTTTTACTCGGTTTTGCTCAAAGGCCTTGGCTAAGGCTTGTCCTGACCCTAAACCTAGGGGAAAGCGAAAACCCCACTGATGGCCTGCAGGGTGCAGTTCAACAAGGTAAGAAGGCTGAGTCAAGAATCTGATTGGCAAAGATATAAGCAGTTTTTTCGTGAGTACAAGAAGGCTTTGTGGGAGGCTAAGAGGTCATCCTGGAGGGATTTCTGTAGTAGTGTCGAGGATAATTCCGAGACTTCCAGATTAAGAAAAATACTGTCGAGATCCTCGAACTAGATCGGGTTTCTGCAGAAGCAAGATAGTTCCTGGACCTGAACGACGGGAATGGAAACGATAGAACTACTCTTGGAC